CCCACCACCTAGGGCAGGCTACAGCTTATCCCCCAGTTACTTAGCTGGAATTAAAAACAACAAAGACGATGCTTTGTGATAGCCCTACGCTCCCAAAATGGGTGCGGGACAACAAAAAAAGGTATTCTTTGAAAATTCTATTGAATTATATATACATATTTTAATGTATATATAATTTTGAGTTCCTACATCTAGACCACATCCGCATAGACAAATTTAAAACAAAAAACCTCACGATAGTCCAATTTTTTAATGAGTTACAGAGCTATATTTGGATGGGTACAAATGTACCACGGTTATTGATCTACGTAGGTAATAACTTTAAAAAATTGTAAAAATTATATATATGGAAAATATATATAATTTTTTTCTTCGAGTATGTGTGAAAATACCTCAAGAATGATTCCTCAAAATTTGATCTAAAAATCTCCATTATTAAAAATTTTACAGCATTTTTATTCAAAAAAAGGTACAAATGTACCCGGTTATTGACCGTAGGGTTAATATTCCCATACTTTGGATTTTGGGACGTATGACTAATATTAATCCTAATATCACTATGATGATATTGATTTGTGATCAAATACAAAAATTTTATCATACGCATCTAAGAAATACAAATGGTATAATCCGCGTTTCTTAGATTTTTTTTAATTCTTTTAAAATCGTATTTATGAAAATTTGTATATTGAAATTAATTAGAAATGACGTTGGCCATTTTTCCTTTTGTTTTTTTTTTTTTTATTTCTCAGAATTGTGGCAATTCTGAAAAATTCAGGTATTAACAGTCGAAAAGGTGAATGTATTTTTTATGTGAAAAAAATTTCAGCGCACAACAAGAAAAAAATCACAAAATTAAATCATACTTTTTCATTGTTGCCGTTTTGTTCACTTTTTATAAAAAAAACAACACATTTTGGCAGCGGTAAATAATGACATTATTTTTTTGTTGTATTTTTTTTCATAAATTATCAAGTCTTTCCCATGTGCCATTGTTAACATGATATTGTATTGTTTTTATTATTTTTTGTAAAGTAAGAAATATGATTATTATTACATTTGCAAAAAAAATTATCACACACATATATGTATGCATTTATGGTATGATACTTACATACATATGTTGTTCATTATGATGGATGTATAAATGTCTTTGTTTTCACTTTTTCTTTCAATTTTTTTGGTTTGTTTCTTGTTTGGGTTGTTAACACAGATTTGTACTTAAGATTTTTTTTCTTCCGATTTTTTTGTGGAAACACAGAAAAAATTGTTTCATTTGCTTCTTCTTCTTTACAGCAAAATGTTTTACATTCAAAGTAGATGCTGATGAAGACGGCAACGTCATCTTCTGACGACGATGCCTAGACATTGTACTTAGGATTTTGGTGTACGTATCTCAATTTCGTCGAGACGCCATATGTGTATACATATATGTGATGCGATGCTACACACACACTCACACACAAGTATTTTTTTTTTACTTTTTTTTGGCACTTCAAAAGCCATTAGGCCACACCACTTCATCACACCAAAACACAAACAACAACAAAAAACATCATCAGCATCTTTACGCTTCTAAGATGTTCGTTCGTTCATTCAGACGCACTGAACCAGCCAACCAACCAACCGACCGCGTCCAAGCATAGAACATATGCTGATGTTCGTTCGTTGGCTTGTTCATTCGGTGTTGTTCCATTCATTTTTTCTTTGGTTAGGCACAAGCCAAGGCATTCTGCCAACCAAACAGCCACTCTGCCAGCCAGCCATTCACTCATGAAAATAAAAGTGTTAACAGAAATTTAATGTCTCCTGATGTTGTTGTTGTTTTAAATGTTTTTATTTCGAAGGAAACATTAAAATGAGAAGTAATAGAAACTGTTAATTGGGGAGCCAGGGTGAAGGGTAGTGTACATTTTTTAGTGTACAAAAAAATAATCTTAGATTCCAAAAGGGAACTTCTGGGAGCAGAAAGTCACCTAAAATGTTTTTACGAAACATTATCTTCTAAAGACAATGAGGTATTTTACAGGCTGGCGATTTTTTGGACTTCTATTTAGTTAGCCTTGATGAAATCTTATAGAAATTTGGAGATCATTCCGTCATTTGAAATAATTCCGAGATTTCTTTAATAGGCAGGATATTTCATATATGTCGTGCATGGACAAAGGATCTTTAAGAGGTCCTCGAAGGTCTTCTACGCCGCTTATTTACAGAAATATCATTTGGGCGAACTTTTATGGTCTTTCGGCCTTTTTGCCTAGAAAATTTTCTCGAAACCCATTATAGGTCCTTTTCCAGATCCTCTGTATTCAAATAAGCCTACAAGAGCTATCGGTATTTTTTATTAATTCAGACGTTTTTATAAAAAAAAATAAAACAAATGTAGAAAATGCCACTGAGGCCTATAAAAACTTATAGAACATTTTTAGTAGGCGTATGCCTTCGAGGATTATAAAATTTATATGGAAAACATTTTTGTAGACCCCCGATGCCTATAAAATTTAATTTTTTTATTCTTCGGAGCCCACGAAACGTCACCGAGGGATCTAAATTTTTTTAGAAAAATTTTCATTGGCCCCCGATGATTCTTCAATTTAAGACAAAAACTTTTATAGGCCTGTATAGAAAATTTTTCATAGGTCTCCAAGGGCTTATGAAATTTTGCAGAAAATTGTTCAAAAGCCTACGAGGCCTATATATTCTTATAGAAAATTTGTCATAGGCCTCCGAGGCCTTTAAACTGTTACAGAAAAATGTTCAATGGCCTCCGAGGCCTATAGAATCTTAACGAATTTTTTTCATAGACCTCCGAGACCTATACAATTTCATTGGCCTCCCTGAAAAATTTTCAATGGCCTCCGAGGCCTATAACAAAAAATTCCCTTGGCCTCCGAAGCAAATAACATTTTATAAACAGGTCTTCTTCCTATGTAAGAGCTGCTGGTATTCTTCTTCCTATAGGAGAGAGCTGCATGTATTCTTTTTCCGATAGGAGAGCTGCATGTAATTTTCTTCCTATAGGAAAGCTGGATGTATTTTTCTTCATATAAGAGAACTATAGGTATTATTCTTACTGTTGAAGAGCTGCATGTATTTTTCTTCCTATGGAAGAGCTGCAGGTATTATTCTTCCTTTGGAAGAGCATACAAAATTCTATAAGGAACTTTTTAATAGGTCTCCTCCGAGGCCTATACATTTCTAAAAAACATTTTCATAGGACTCCCAGGCCTTTAACATTTTATAACATGTTTTCATATCCTTCCGATGCCTAAAAAAATTTTATAAAAAACTTGTCATAGACCTCATGCCCTTTAAAAATTTTTTAAATGTTTTTTAGACCCCCGAAGCATAGAAATTGTCCTTCCTGACCTAAAAAATGTATAGAAAAATTTTCAATGGCTTCCTAAAAAATGTTGTAGAAAACTTTTCATAGGCCTTCGAGGTTAATAAAATTTTATAGACCCTTTTTTCATAGACCTAGAAAAATTTTCATTCGCCTTCAAGGCACACAAAATTCTATCAGAAAATCTTTGTAGTCCTTCGATGACTAACATATGTTATAAAAAATTGTTTATAGTCCTCCGAGACCTATAAAATTTTATAGAAAATTGTTTATAGTCCTCCGAGACCAATAAAATTTTATTATTATTATTCACATTTGTATTTCATTTGTAGAAATTATTTCCGATGCCTAAGAAATGTTTAAGAAAAGTTTTCATAGACGGCTGAGGGTTACAATATTGTATAGAAAAGTTTTCGCAGAACTCTGAGGTCTATAAAATTCTATAGATTTTCTTTTCGTAAACCTCTGGAATCTACATATCTCTATAAAAAATAAATTTTTTCGTTGACCTACGAGGCTTGTAAAATTTTACTGTAAATTTACTCGGTGGTATAGAACAATTTTTAGGGTCTACATCTAAGATTTACAAAAATCAATAAAAAGTTTTTCGCAGACCTATAAAGACTATAAAATATATATTTTGTAGATGTAATGGTATCCATCTATAGGACCTTCTAAAGGTCTTCTATGGTCCTTCTACATATCACCTATCGAGAAACAAATTTATTTAGAATTCTCTTACATAGACATAAGCCCGTCAAGGTGCATTTTATCGGCAAATTAGCTTAAAAACAATCTTAGACCATTGTGGAGATCCTTTTCTTTTGATCTCTGCAGGCTAAACACTCACCAGGCATTTAAATTTGTTATAAACATTTATCGCAAACCTCTGATCCCAATTTAAAATGTTTACAGAATCTGTAGGTCCTAGAGCAATTTGGATGTGCTTGGAATTTTTACAGACACTATTTTCTAGACGTCTCAGACGCCTAGTTTTATAGTTAATATTTTGTATGTCTCTGAAGTCTACACATTATAATAGAAATACGTTTGAATAGCCTTTTAAGAGCAACACAAAAATTGACCGAAAATTATTGTTTGGTCTCTGATACCGATATAATTTTAACAAGATACTTTCATGGCTTTCTGAAACCTTGAAATGTCCATGAAAAGTTTTTCTAAGGTCCTTAAGGTATATAATTTCCATAAAAAATAGTTCGAAAAGGTTTCGTTGCTCAAATCATATTTTGTTTTATTTTTATGGAACGTATGATTATTATTTATAAATATATAACCGCCTATTAATTATACGCCACCACTAATATTGTAATTAATAACAATCATACGTCACCGGTTACGAAGTTGAAAAATTCAATTTTCCAATGATTAGGGTTGAGTTTCTATTTTGTGGAATTTTCGAAAATTAATAGGCCTTCTTAAATGCACTTTAATTTATTTCTAATTGTATATTAATTATTTTTCAATATTTTAGTCGAATTTCTCATAATGAAAACTTTTCGGCAAACAAATGAAGAAATTTGTCTAGTTTCTAATATTTACTTTATTCAAGTTCTGAATTTTTCCCCTCCAATTTAATTCCACGAAATTAAACAATTACTAATAAATTCATTTAAATTTTGTTCTTTTCTATTTCCAGGTGCTGGTGAATCGGGCAAAAGTACAATTGTTAAACAAATGAAAATTATCCACGAAAGTGGGTTCACTCCTGAGGATTTCAAACAGTATAGACCGGTTGTTTACAGCAACACAATACAATCATTAGTTGCAATACTTAGAGCAATGCCAAATCTTAGTATTCAGTTTAGTAATAATGAAAGAGAGGTAAGTACGCACAAACACAAACACATACATATTTTTTCTTTTCTTTGCTCTTCTCCATCCCTACTTATTCATTTTCTTCTTGAAAACATATTTTTCTTTTCCTTATTTGTTTTTTCTTCCACTTTGAAAGTATGCCAAGTTTATGCAAAAATAAAAAAAAACCCAAACACTTATGCTCTAATAATATTGTGTAAAAAGTAATACTAGGTCAATGGAACGGCGCACAAAAAAAAAATGAGGGCGGTGTTCTATTTTAATTCTTTTATTTATTTTTCTCAAAATAAATAAAAATGACAAATTGTTATGGTGATGGGAAATTGTGGCGATTTTTCATTTTTTGGAGTGAATTTTATTTAAAAAATAGGTTTTTACTTTCGATTTTTTGACAAATTAGGCAAAATTAAAGAAAATCCTCGGGGACGGATGATTATTATTAATTACAGAAGAGTGTGGGGGGCGTATGTTTATTATTTATAGGAGGGTATTTAAATTCGTCATACGTCTTATCTTCGGTTTCAGGGGTCTAAAGGAGCTATATAAACAAAAATTTTATAGGTTTTCGATGTCTATAACTTTGTATAGAAATTTTGTCAATGACCTGACATTTTACAGAAATTTGTATAGACATCCGAGGCATATAAAATCTTTTAGATTTTTTAAACCACTTATTCCTGTAATATTTTTTAAGAAATTTGTTCATAAGTTCATAAGTTTCCTAGGCCTATAACTTTTTTTGCCAACCAAGAAAAATATTCATAAGCCTCCGAGGGCAGTAGAATTTTATAACCAAACTTTCATGGGTCTCAGAGGCCAATCAAATCTTATAGAAAATGTTAATGGGGGCATTCGAGGTTTATACAATTTAAGGCTTATTAAACATTATAGAAAACATTTTTAAGCCTCCGAGGTCTATAAAATTTTATTGAAAAATTTTCATAGAGCTCTGATGCCATAACATTTTATAGAAACATTTTCGAAGGCTTCAGAGGCCTATAGCCTAGCCCTCCTAAGTCTATAGAATTATATAGAGAACTTTTCATAGGCCTCCTAGAACTATAACATTTTATAGAAAAATGTCCATAGGCTATTGAGGCCTATAAAATTGTTGATAATCATTTTCATTGCCTCCGAGGCCTATAAAATTTTATGGAAATATTTTCGTAGGTCTCTCCAATGCCTATAAAATTTTTCATAGGCCTTTGCGGTCTATGAGACCTTTACATTTGTATACAAAAATATTCCTATCCTTCCGAGGTTAATTTCCTCCAAGGTTAATTTTATAGAAACAATTAATTAGGCAACTGAGGCCTATACAATTTTATGGGCAATCGTTCATAGACCTCTGGGGCCTACATAATTTCATAAAAAAAGGCTCATAGGCCTTTTGGGGCCTATACAATTTTAAATATAATTTGCCATAGGCCTCTGAGACCTATACAGTTTTGGAGATAGAGGTCTATAAGATATTCGAGAACAAAATCCTAAATCTACGAGGCTTATAACAATTTTCATAGGCCTCCAAAACCTATACAATTTTATACAAAATTCCTTATAGGCTTCCGAGACTTTAAAATTATTATATTTTTTTCATAGGCCTCTAAGACCTTTAACATTGTATAGAAAAATGTTCATAGACCTCCAAGACCTATAAAATTATATCAAAATTTTTTCATAGGCCTATACAAAGTCATAGAAAATTTTTCATAGGCCTATACTATTTTATAGAAAATTTGCGATAGACTTCTATCACGAATTTCTATAAATTTTGATAGGAAGTTTGTCATGGAACTTCGAAGCCTATAGCATTTTATAGAAAATGTTTCATAGGCATCCGAGGCCTATGTAATGTCAAAGAGAATTGTTCGTTCATAGGCTATACAATTGTATGGCAATTTTTTTATAGGCCTTCGATGCCAATGACATTTTATAGAATATTTTCATAGCCTCCGATTTTATAGAAATGTTTCATAGTCCTACGAGGCCTACAAAATGTTATAGACATTTTTCCATAGGCCTCCGAGGCATATACAATTTTATTGAAATATTTTCATACGCCTGCGAGGTCTTTGATTTTTTGTAGAAAAATGTTCATAGGTGTCAACAAAACTCCGAGGGCGGCAATACTTTGTGTAGTCCTATTTCTTATCTCAGAACCCCACGTTCTTTTCCTCATCCGATGTTTTTATTTATTTATTTTTTCAAATAATGAATCCCTTTGTTTCTCTCTTTCCAGAATGATTCCAAAATGGTATTCGATGTGTGTTCACGCATGCACGACACTGAACCCTTCTCAGAGGAACTTTTAGCTGCCATGAAACGGCTATGGCAAGATGCCGGTGTTCAAGAGTGCTTCTCGCGTAGCAACGAATATCAATTAAACGATTCAGCTAAATAGTAAGTAGTCGTAACATATTACAACAAATACCACAACAACAACAATTTACATAATTTGCATTTACAAACCCATTTACACCTTGACTGGTGTGGCTTCCCATTCCACACAATATTATTGGGTCAAGGTGATCCGAGATTTTTGTCTTGGTGATAATTTATTCAAAACATTTCGGTTTCTTTGTATTTTTGGCGGAGATAAAAGTTTAAATCTTTTGTTTCAAACTTTTGTATTGAGAGTAATAAAAAAAAATTTTGAAAATGGGCCTATAACATTTTGTTTAGTTTTGTTGTAAAAAATACAACAACAACATAGAAATAGTTGTAAATAATCGATAATTGGGAAACGAGTTTTTATGTTGAAAAGAAAAAATTTAAATAATTGAAAATATTACAGATATTTTGCGAGAAAAATTTAATCAGACTTTGGAGGTTATAAAACTGTATATATAACTTTTTATAGCCCTCAGTACCCTTAACTATTGTACAATAGCCTCCGAGAACTTTTTTAGCTTTTTCTTGCTTTTATAAATTTGTCACGATATGCTCAGAGACCTATCATAATCCACACCATAATGTGCTACAGGGTATATATAGCTATCAGGGTATTTCCAAAGCCCTTCGAGAACCATAAGAATTTGTTCGTGTGTCACTTAAGCCCATAGGCCTCCGAAGCCTCTAATAATTCATAGATCTACGCAGCCTACAAACTTTGATAGAAAAATGTTCATATGGAAATTTTTTCTATGAAATTGTGTAGGCCTCGGAGGACCACGAAAAATATTCAATATAAAATAAAAGTATTGTAAAGAATTTTTCATAGGTATCGAGGTCTAGAACATTTTCAATAGTCCCTGCGTCATAAATTTTTTTTTACTAAATTTTTTTAAAGGACCATTTTTCATTGACCTCTCAGCTTTACACAATTTTGCAGAAATTTTTTCATAGCACTCTGAGGTCTTTAAAATTTAATATTTAAGCATTCAGCATATTTAAGCATTTTCAAAGATCTCTGAGGCATATCATTATTTGTATAGGCCTCCGAGGCCCATATCTTTCATAGGCTTTACAATTTTTTCATAGTCCTCCGATTCCTATAAACTTTTAGCCTGCAACCCTTGTTCTATTTTACAGAAGATATTTCATAGGTCCCCGAGACCTATAACATTTTATAAACAATTGTTTATAGACCTCCGAGATCTATACAATTTGATTGAAAGTTTTTCGGACATCCGCAGGGCCTAAAACTTTTTAGAGAATATTTTTCATGGTCCAAAAAAAAAAAAAAAAATACAATATATATATTTTTTAGGGGAGGCCTGAGGCCTGTATAACTCTGTATAATTTTTTTCAAGGCCTATAAAAAACCAGTAAGGAAAGTAGTAAAGTCGAAGGAGACCGACTACATGATACCCTTCACCACTTTCGATATATTCAACAGTTGAATCCTAATAGACGTCGCATTTTTAAAGGACCACTAAAGTGAAATTTGATCCATAAACATGTCATTCTGCAACCGATACTAAATTTTTCATTTGGTATAGAAGCTATATCTAAATATGAACCAATTTTCACGAAACTTAACACACACCATTTTAGACCTAATTCATTACGCTGCGCCAAATTTGGTGCAAACCGAAAGATACATAGGGTCTTTGGTACACCATTTACATTAAATCGGACGAAAATATATATGGGAGCTATATCTAAATCTCAACCGATTTTCAGGAAACTTAACACACATTATTCTAGATCAAATTCATTACGCTGTGCCAAATTTCGTGCAAATCGATGGATATATAGGGACTTTGGTGCACCATTTACATTAAATCGGACGAAAATATATATGGGAGCTATATCGAAATCTGAATCGATTTTTAAGAAATTCAACACATGTCTTTCTACACTTAATTCAGTACGCTATGCCAAATTTCGTGCAAATCGAAAGAGATATAGGGACTTTGGCGCACCATTTACATTCAATCAGACGAAAATATATATGGGAGCTATATCTAAATCGGAATCGATTTTCAGGAAACTTAAGACACATCACTCTAGACCTAATTCATTACGTTGTGCCAAATTTCGTGCAAATCGAAAGATATATAGGGACTTTGGTGCATCATTTACATTAAATCGGACGAAAATATATATGGGAGCTATATCTAAATCTGAACCGATTTTCAGGAAACTTAACACACACTATTCTAGACCTAATTCATTACACTGTGCCAAATTTAGTGCAAATCGAAAGAGCACCATTTACATTAAATCGGACGAAAATATATGTGGGAGCTATATCTAAATCTTAACCGATTTTTCCCAATTTCAATAGGGTTTGTCTTTGGGCCAAATAAGTGACCTCTGCCCAATTTCATTCAAATCAGATCATAAATGCGACCTGTACTTTGTTCACAAAAATACATGGACGGACAGACGGACATGCGTAAATCGACTCAGAAAGTGGTTCTATGCATATTCTCATAAGGAACCGTGTCTCTATCTCGTTTCTTTTGGCCTGTTACAAACATATGCACAAAGACATAATACCCTGTACCACCACAGTGTGGCGAAGGGTATCAAAATAGAAAATGCCTCTAGGGCCTATAAAATGTCAAAGAAAATAATTCGTAGGCCCCGACGACAATAAAATGTTATAGAAAATTAGGCATTGAAGCGGATCAACTCTAGTATTATTCATATTTTATTTGCTATAGTATAAACACATACTTTTTATTAATCATTTGAATACAACTATTATTTAAATATTTGAAATTAACGGTTAACCATGTAAATATTTTGTAAACAGTACCAAAACCTACATCACTGACCTTACTACCTTTTTATACAACCAATACTAGATAAGAATCTTGCTTCTCATAAGTAGTACCTAAGCTCAATCTAATTTCAATAAAATCAGCTACACTCCGAGTCCTGGACCCCCCGACTCTAATTCGTTTAAGCTAACACTGAAGGCTTAAGATCATTACCCACTCTTGCCAAGTAGATGGACTAGATCATAAGCTGGAAGTAGTTCCTAACCAATGAGTAGCCAAAATTATTGTAAATTTTGTTGTTTCGAGGCTTGCGCCCAACGTGGGGCAAGCCTCATTGAAACCCAAAGAGCTTTCTTTATTGGCGCCCAACTCAGTGGCCATGAACTACGACCTATAAGTAAAAGCCGAGGACAACATCAACAAGTCAGACGGCCTTCTTTAGCCTCCTATTTTTAGATAATTTGTTCATATACCTCTGAGGCCTATTATAAATTTATACCATCTTCTTAATTTATTTAATTATTTTATTTATTTATTTCATATATAATTAATATTTGGTTGTATAGAAAAAAAAATACAATTACAAAAATTTTTATAAAATATTTAAATAGCATTTTTTTATAAAAACTTATAAATTAATAACAAAAAAATAATACTTATTAATTATATTTACACATTATTTAAAAAAAAATTGTCTCTATATGTATATACACACATATACACATGTCTCTTTCCCAATCATTTTCTCGATTCTGGCATCCAAATATTCGCTTAGGTCGGTTACTCATCTCTGACAGTTAATTTAAAATTCAACGGTGATTCGGGAATATAGGTTGAGTTGACTTTATACTCCAGTTCGCCATGATTGTATTCGACTTTGTATTTGCGGAAGATCTGCAAGAAAAAAATAAACAAATGAATGGTTTATAGGCAAAAAATAGAGGCAAATAGAAAAAAAAACAAAGGCAACCATGGAAAAAACAACAAAACTTAGGCAGACTGAATGCAGCCTCCCTCCCGAGCTGCTTGGTTGCCTGCCTGACGGGTTAGATTTTGCTCGGCCAATGTTTGTTAACATCTTCTTCTTCATCTCCATCATCGTTGTTGTCAAGAATTTCAATTTCCCCTTTACCAAACACACACACACACGAAAAAGTGAATGTCTGCTGAAGGATACAACAACTTGGTAACGACGCCCTGCTGCTGAAGATGATGTGTAAAGTGTAGTGACTTGTAAGTGAATGGCAGTAAAAAAAACTAGGCTTAGAGGTACTTTAACCAGCCTAACTGGCAATCTGCCTCCTCCTTTAGCCTCCTTTTGCCATATGGATGTTTTTTCTTGTTTACCAATTCGCCCCCTCTCTTTTTGTTGTTTGTGCCAAATGTACTTACCTTTGCCAACAGAGTATGTAATTCGATTTCCGCAAAACGTCGTCCGACACACATGCGACGCCCATAACCAAATGGTAAACTAACAAAGGGATGTATTTTGTGGCCATCATGATGTGGACATCTATTTGCATTTGGATTAACATCTGTGTGGAAGAAGAGAGAAAAAACAAGTCAATGGAAAAAATTGCTATGTCAATTTGTTTCTCCACCCCGAACATAATGTGGGTGGGAGTAGGGAGGTGGTAGGGACTTCCTTTGAAAAAATGCAGAAATACTCAAATATGGTCCTATGTAATGGAATATGGCCTCTTACGGATAATTTTCCTATTTCCTTGTAGCCTACAAGAGTCCTTCAAAAACAATTTTTAATTAAACTCTCCTTTTGTACATGAGGCTGCTAAGAGGTCTTCTTGTTTCCGGAAATCCGATTCTATTAATTGAACATTTTCTGGTAAATTCAAATTGCTTTGGTTTTTGTTGTAACGAAAAAGAAGTTAATTATGAAGGAGGACCTCCCACTCGGCACTCAATAATTTTTTGAGATATGATAATACCCTGAAAACTGAATGGAAAGGAAATTCCCTGGCTTCGTTTCAATTATGCAGAATTTCACAAAATAAAGCTTTCTAAATATTCTCCAAGTATGAGATTTTTTTCTCTGGAAGCTCCAAAGCATTATTTTCCTACCCACCACCCTTCCCAATTTTCAGACCAACAGATGAGTATATTACTCCGGAAAATTGACCTAAGTTTGTTTCCCCCCACTCTACTTACTCTGTTGATTTGCTGTTGTTTCATTCTGTTTAAGCCAACGTTCCGGTTGAAATGCTTTCGGTTCTGGAAAATATGCTGGATCATTTGACACAACCAAATGGGGAAATATGACATTTGTCTGCAAAACACAAAAACAACAACAACGAAAAATAGAAATGAAATTAAATCCTGCTTTTCTTCTCTTCAATTGAAAACAAGATTTGTTTTCAAATTGGAAAACTTACACCCTTTGGTATATGATAGCCATTGATAATGGCATCCGATTGTAGGCTACGACCATTGGCAATGACAACGGGATACATTCTGAAAGACCAAAAAAAAAAAAAAAAACAAAAAGAAGAAATAATTAAATAGGAGAAAAGTTATTGCATAGACCTCAGAGGCCTTAAAAATCTTATACAATTTTTTCATAGACCTCCGGGGCCTCCTATCACATTTTATAGACAATTTTCCTGA